CAATCCGCGGCCGGGTAAGCGAGAAATCTGTTGTTAAAGATGGTCATGACGGGCAGTTTAGTCGTATTTTCCGTAATTTCTCTTTAAGATCACTAGGAATGTTACAAAACTGTAAAAACCCGTGGACACGGTAACATGACGATTCTTTAGGTACCCACTTTTATGGGTCTAAGGTTTACCGTTATCGCGGAGTTTGAGTGACTTTCTCAGTACCCTGGATTCTTGAAATTCAAATTTCCCGGCAAAGTAAAAAGTAAAATTTTCCTTGTTTTGGGTCATTAAGTGCTTATAACTTTTTGAAAACTCAATGGATCTTATTGAAACTCTTCCACTTTGTAGTCCTAATTGAGATGCGTCCGTACACACCAAGATCGTAGGAATCCGTGCCGTCGTTTGGGCTGCAGTCGAATGGCAATCGAATCAATTTTCAAGTTAAGGGAGTTGCCTGTGACTAAGAGTGTCGGCCACCCGTTTGTTATCGGGACTTTAGTAGGACGTCATTTTCCTCGACCGGGGGTGGCTACCGCCACTCTTGATTCAAAAAGTTAATATTCGTATCCACTTTCCTCCGAATCTTCCATAACTTCCTTTTGCTTTTCAAAGTACCGTCCATCAAACCGGATGCACTTTTTCATGCGCTCTTTCCACTTATCCAACATTGTTTTCCTGAATTCTTCCTCTGGGATGGCGTTGAAAAAGTTTTGAATTGCATTCTGGATTTCGGTCTTCGATTCGAATCTTCGTCCGCGAAGCTTCTTTTTAAGCGTAGGAAACATCCAAAAATCACATGGAGCCAAGTCAGGGCTGTAAGGGGGATGAGGGATTGTTTCAACTCCATTTTTACTCATAAATTCATGTGTTAAGCTCGATGTGTGAGGCCGCGCTTGTCTTGATGGAGTATCCACGAACCTTTCAAGTCCGACCGTTTCCGGGAAATGTGCATTCTCAACTCCTTTAGCACTTTGCAATAATACGCACTCTCAACTGTTGTATTTGGTGGTACAAAATGTTGATACTTAAATGACACCTCGAAAATAAAATAACACAATAAGCATCACTTTATCGGCCGACTTTTCGATTTACGGCGATGAAGAATCTTCCTTAAAAACCGTAGGCGTAAACTTTCCTCGCTGATTTAAAATTGCCATAACTCGGTCAATTTTTATCCGATTGAGCTGATCTTGGTTTTAATCGATAGGTATTGAGTTGATCTTTAAAATGAGATCAAGATCATGTCTGTATCTATCTTACTTTCGAAGTTACAGAACAAGTCCCGGTGCTTTTGGGACACCTTATGTATACTTTACGCCGAATAAGCGAACCTGAAACTTAAATGCGTTAACTTCCGAAAACCATAAATAATCCAACGAAAATTAATAATTGGTACATAACAGCTTTCTTGTATGAAAAGAAAATAATTAAAAATGTTAAAAAAGAGATGTCAACACAAAATTACATAGCCCCTTCAATTCAGAAGATACTACAAACAAACTGTACCTTAACATTTTCATATCCCAGAAGCTAACGTTCCCATGACGAATATTGCTATCGCTAGCGATTGCAAAATCCAACTTGTTTCTTTTTCCTTTTTCTTCCTACTTTTTCTTCGTACAGACCTAACAATCCCCCCCCTCCTGAATCTGCCAAAGGGTTAAGACACAAAATGTTTATACCTCGTACATTGTTCAGCCATAGCCAAGGAAACCTCTGCATAGCATCTTAGAAAACCACGTGCGCCTCTGACACGCAGTCGATGATACGTCGCACAGTTGATCGAGTAAATTAGAGAGGTCGGACACGAAATGTTTGACCAAAACTGAAAATTTTAATGTTTAAATCGTCACTTTTTACATTATAAGGGGTGTAAATAGAAGAAAATTTCACGAGGAAACCAATGGAGCCACTTTTAAAACCTCAAAGTTTTGTATAAACGGAGTAATGAGCTTTTAAAGTTTCCAAATTTTGTCCGACCTCCCCTATTGACCCGATCCACTGAACGTCGAAAATGGGATTCTTACGCCATCTGTCATTGTTGCCGAAAAATCCTTGTGACCGAATAAGGAAAACTTGGAAAAAAATATTGTCCGGCAGTTGGAGGGATGAACACATTTAGACACATCTGACTGCTCCCGGACAGGAAAAGTCACATATTACCGTGAGTGCAAACTGCTGAACCCACCAGAGAAGGAAAAACCTTAAAAATTTGGCCTATACATACTTTGAGTAACAATATAGTAAAATCTTTACGAATGTCCGAGTTTAACAGAAAGGAATCAAGCCACATCAGCAATTGACAAATTTAACTGGAAAATTTAATTTTTTACGCGAGAACGTTTATGCGGATTCCTTTGAACATTTTAGGGGGTTTGCTTCGTACTACTCAGAAAATTCACTGAAATTTGCACACAAATCCACACCATCGTTTTCATGTAAAAATTTAAATTGCCCCGTTTTGACAGTAGCTGATTTGACTTGGTTCCTTTCAACCTAATGCGGTCTATTTACAGTGCTTTCAAACGCGATTCGGTAATTAATTGATTCATGGATAATTTTTGGATTCTAAGATATCTTTTCTAATAAAATAACAGTTATTCAAACTCATATAAAATTTGATTTTGACTTTGAGAAAACGGTTACATGAAAGTATGCATTATTCCGAAAAATTTACTCGCATATTTAAAGTAAGCAAACATTTGGTAAACATTTGACAACATTCTGATGTTTAACCGACGCTTTTCCTTAACACGGTAGCATAAGCGAGGGCGAAAAACCGAAATAACTAACAAAACGCTATTGTTTCAACGTGTTCATTTTTCGCTGAAGTTTCAGCCGAATTAACCCTTTCGCACGCACTGGAGCACCAACAGACGTGTCGATCAAACCTCTAAAACCGTGATACCGCCAGGGTAAGCTAAAGTCACGTAACTCATGCTGTAGCGCTGAGAGAAAACGCTGCATGAACATTCGAGCATTGCCAAATTTTTCAAAGTAAAATGTCCATTTTTGAAATTAGTTTTTGATATTCACTCTCAAAATACTCCAAATTAAACAGCGCTTAAAATGCTCAGAAAGAAGGGGAGGGGGCATTCAAAAGTATCCCTAAAAATTCGTATTTCATCCACGGAAACAAGGCGACGCACATTGGATCTAGTCGATGGGAGAAGTCGGACAAAATCTTGAAACTTCGAGGGCTCGCATTTTCGAAAATATAAAACAAAAAATTTTAAGATTGGTTTCATTGGGTTCTTCGTAAAATTTCCATGCAGGAACACCCCTTGAAATTTAATTTGTGACAAAATAAACATCAAAATTTGAAATTTTATCCAAAAATTTCGAGTCCGACCTCTCCCATTAGTTCGATCCTGTGTGCGACGTTTGAATATTCTTAGGGCGTTTTCCCTCAGAACTGCTGCATTTTACTCCCGATCGGAACTTACGGAGCGGACGCAGCAGGAAAACACAAAGGATCAATTGCTAAGTCCTGACTCCTCATTAGCACCCCCCTCCCCTCCCCCTCATGGGGCTCTTTCGCATCGTGGAGAGTCAGCTCTGAAATCGGGGCAGTCAACCATAAATCATTCTCCGGCATAGGTGCCAATACGCTCAGGAAGGGATGAAAGTTTTACACCCCCCCCCTCCCCCGCGCCCCTGACGCAATGTAGGCCGGCTATTGAAAATTGATTAAAAGCTCTTTGGATGACCTTGATCAGCCTTGAGGGTTGTTTAAAGACGGATAAGTTAATACCACCCAAGACCCACCAAGATATTATTATTGGAGGCTTCAACATCCCCTTCTCGTGATGCGGCCTAGACTGCAGAAGTCGTTTCGCGACCTCAAATGGATGCATTTCTGTCAAACGGAACAATGTGCATTATGACGTGAGCCCTGTTATACATGTATTCTCATGCGTCTCAGGGCTCATGTCTTAATGCACATGGTTCCGTTTGGCAGAAATACGACCAAATGACCGCTTATTGCACCGCAATGTGCGACAACTCTTGATACTGCCGTGGCTGAAGCGGTGAGAGTCTGAAAAGTCGAAACGCCTTCATTTCCGTGCGTATGCAACACAGGCATCCGTAGCGGCCGAATAGTTGCATCCAGGTGTTATAATGTGTTTTGGCGTTCGTTGTATCCAACACTAACTGAGGGCGCTTTGCTTGTTTGCTAATCTTGTGCATAACCTCCACCTCAGCGTTGGCTATTGTGTCGACGAAGAAAAAAGATGAATTTGCATGAATATTTCCGTTGAAATTTCTAAATCACATTTTGCAACTCCTCTCAACAACAATAGCTCTGATGCAAATATTACCTCCGATGAACTAAGGTCCGCGATCCCACAGAAAATGATCACGGCCAATAAGTAATGATGAAATAATTAAATGTTAATTAATTACGGTGCAACTATTAGGGCAGGTCGTGGTTTAATTTTAACAAAATGGAGAACGTGAATATCTATTATCGTTTTATTGATTCATTTAGAATTTTGGGTACTTTTTTGGCTAAATTTGTATCACTTGTAGCTCAATTTAATCATAAATTGAATAATTTTTATATTAAAAAGAGATAACAAATGTTTGTTTTAGCCTTTTGGATTCTGTGTGACATACATGAAATACCCTCATATTGCTCATTGTTCCATTTTATGATTGAAACTTTAAAGTATGGCCATGGATAGGACAGCAAACGCTAGGGAGGGGGGGGACTTGAAGTACGTGCTATTTAAGACCGGACCAAATGAGATAGAGGGGAGGTTATCAAATTGCCTAGAAGCATAGCCCCTCTTCTCCATCGATTCATCCGTAACATACGGCCCATCCTAAATGAGGGCATAATTTACGATGTTGATTTTGTAAGAGCTCATACATGAATCATTATTTCGCTATGCGGCGCGGTGCGGCGATAACTTTAACGTGGGTGAGCCACTTGAGATGATTTACTTCCTAGAAAGTTGTGACTGTATGCAATTCAAAAGGTACCACTTGGTTAGAGATTAACATAACATCTCGATAAAGTTATACATGAGTATATATAAATGTAGACAGCTTGGATTCCCTATCAAATCATCAACATATTAGTTGATGATCTGAGAGACTATTGTGTGAACCAGTCTGTTTTCTTCATACGTTCGAAGGTTCGTACACAATTTGATTTCATCAAAGTATTATAATTTCGACGCGAAAGAGTTTAAAATTATATTCTGATAATTTTTGTGTTTTCTTGCAACTTTTAATTTCGTTTTGAGTATTGAATATGGCCGACAAATGGACTGCGTTGAGTAGAAAGGAACCAAGCCGCATCCGCTATTGCCGAATTTCATTAAACCATTATATTTTTACATAAAAACAGTTGAGCAGATTTTCGTGCAAATATCAGTGATTTTTTCTGCATGGCACGTAGCAAATCCCCTAATATTTTTAAAAAAAATCGCACGAATTAAAATATTAAATCACTTTAGTTAAATTTTGCAAAAGCTGATGTGGTGGCTTGGTTCATTTCCTCTGAACGCGGTCCAAATGCAGGTAGCAGGTGACATTTTCGGAGAAAAAATAAGATATTACTGAATTTGAACATTGTTCTGAAGTTAACTGAGGAAAACATTTACAGATACCTAACATTCCGTTTCTTCGATTTTTGATTTTAGATGCTGATTTTTCAATTGGTTACATGTGTTTTTCTGCTGACGAGCGCAGCCGCTTTCAGCACCGCTCAGCATTTTGGATTACTGAGCGGTCACGAGGCAACCAAGAGGAGACTGAATGATTTTGTGGCAAAAAGAGAGAGTCTCCAAGGTGTGGAATCTAAGACGATAGCGCAGAAACTTGACCACTTCACGCCCTCGCTTACGGCTACTTGGGAACAGGTAGGCAGTAAGGCACTTAAAAATAAAAAAAATATGAGCATCATCTTTTTGCATGATGCCTGTCCGTGAAGAGTGATAACTGTAGCTGCCAAACGCTTAGAAACATCTTCTAAAAGACATTTTTTTACCAAATTTGACTGGCTAAGCTGTTAATAAACAATAAGCTGTTAGTGTAACATAGTTATTGCTTAACAAATTGAGCTACAAGCCAAAATAAACAAGTAATATTTCAAACTACATGCAGATGAGAAAAAATATAAAACTTACTAAAATCAAAGCAAACTTTTCGATCTCTTACAAACTGCGATCTTCTTCAGTGTATTACGAACAACCAATGGAAATATATTACAAAGTAAAAAAGCTGCAAAACTATTAGAAAACTACGTGGATTGTTTTGTAGCTTTTTTATTTTGTAAAATGTTTCCATTGGTTTTTCGTAATTAATGCACTAAAGAAGATCGCAGTTTGTAGGAGGTCAAAACGTTTGCTTTGTCTCCAGTAAGTTTCATATATTTTCTCATCTACATGTAGTTTGAAATGTTACTTGTTTATTTTGTCTTGTAGCTTGATTTTTTAATCAATAACTGTTTTCATCTTCTCAAAGTAGGCCTTTGAATGCATAGCAAAGATGAAGCTGCTTTTTAGAGAGAAACGTGTCCATTGTTCAGGAAATAATTTCCAATTTTGTGGTTTCGTTGACATTTTCACGTAAAAATAAGACAGTTTTCTTTCTGGACACATGGATCGCGTTTACGAAGAGGAACCAAGAAACATCAGTTATTGCCAAATTGAACTGGATTATTTGATTTTCTAAAAGAGAACGTTTGTGCGGATTCCGTTGAAAAGTTTAAGGAATTTTTTTCGCACTATCCAGAAAACTCACTGAAATTAGCACAAAAATCCGCACAACCGTTTTCACGTATAAAATTGAATTGCCTGATGAAATTCGGCGATATCTGTATGGCTTGGTTTTTTCCTGCTTTCAAAACACCCCATCATTCTTGCGCTTTTAATTTGCTCGGTTCTGAGAGGAAATATGTCGAAAATTGAACAAGTTGGTTTTTGCAATCGCTAGCGATAGCAATATTCGTCATGGGAACTTTAGCTTCTGGGATATGAAAATTTTAAGGTACAGTTCGTTTGCAGTATCTTCAGAATTGAAGGGGCTATGTAATTTTGTGTCAACATCTCTTTTTTAACATTTTTAATTTTTTTTCTTTGCATACAAGAGAGCTGTTATTTACCAATTATTTATTTTCGTTGGATTATACATGGTTTTCGGAAGTTAACGCATTTAACTTTCAGTTTCGCTTTTTCGGCGTAAAGTATGATATTTTTACTTTACACATATGCCCGAATACGCATCATAAGTGACCTATGTGCCTCCTAATTTGCCATTTTCTCATTCAAATAGATGTAACTGAAATGTTCGATGTGCACTATACTACTTTCATGTCATTGCTTTATTTATTTTTTGAAGAAAGAAAATACCATCATTAATTTGGGCGAACAGAGAAAATATACATCAATATTTGGGTCAACATCTCCCTGATTATATAACGGATGAATATATTAGTATTTCTGTATCAAAAAACTTAGCTTTTGTCTTCAGAGATACACTGATTCTAGTCCAAGGCAATTTGTTTTATTGAAAAGACAAAAAAACAAAAAATAAAAAATAAAAAAAAAAACAACTGAAATGTTAGACATACTATTTTCATGTCTTTCTATTTGTATCAATAGGTACATCTTGCTTACCTTACGAACGTTGAATGCAAATAAACTTTATTGAAAAAAAGAAAATAACGTCATTAATTTGGGGAACATGTGGCTGATTATATGAAGGAGGTATATTCCAGTATTTTTGTTTAACATATTAACTCACGAGAAAATGTTCGTACATTTATCATCTAGTATTAATTATTTTTTGATGATTGGTCTAAAACATTCAATACAACCATTAAAAATTAACTTCCATCGCCGGGTATCGAACTCCCGATCACCTATTGCCCGCACCTTATCAAAAAAATGGGGCGCCTCGGGCAACTAGGCTATCACGGATCCGCGGAGCAATCAGAAAAAATAGCATTTAAAAGACTCGGACGATGGGCGGGACTTATCACAAGAGTTGTCCTTGAGCGATTCGCGTCTTCGTAGCTTGAGAGGAATGAGCTAAGCGCCTTTCTCTGTGAGACATTGTTTGCCTATGCTATCATGTGTCTCAAGGTTCATCTCAGGATGCATTTGCTTTCGCGGCAGTAAGCTGAGGCGATATTTGTTTATCCATGAATTAAATCAATCAATCGAGCTCTGATTTTGACTTCTTTGTCCGTAACGAGTCCTCCAGAACAATTTTCCACCTTGTACGATGGTTATTATTTCTTTACTTCTATTTTTCAAATTTGAGGTGGGATAATGGCGGCTTCTCAGGAGCACCGAGGTAGGCGATCTTTTGCACCAACGAACAGAAAACTGATGGCGAAAATTAACCAATCGGAGCCTCCCAAAAAAAAGAATTTGCCCAGAATCGGAACTTCGTGGTTCTGCGCAGATTTACCAGTCAGACACGACATCTCAAGGTGGAAAAAAACTCGCTGAAAGCGAATTTTAGAAATCAACACAACTTGACGTAGAGACATGATTGGCTAAAAAATACAACGGTTTTTGATACATCGGAAAATCAACCAAAAATCGAAGACTGGGCGAAACGCTCAGGTCGCAGAGGCACATGGAATCCCATAGCGATAGCATCGGAACGATTGTAATATCATGGGGAACTCCGTTCCCATGACAAAATGATCTCAAATGGGTACGATGTTTGAAGTTACGAACTCAGGTTGCTTATTTTTTAATTTTTTTCAGCATTATGCCCAGGATTTTGAGTTTTACGATGGAAACAATTTGATATTTTTGATGGTTGGCGGTGACAGGGACATGGACGTCGGTTGGTTGAGGCAAGGATTCATTGCCGAGCAGGCGGAGAAATTTAAAGCGGCACTTTTTACAATCGAGCACAGGTTCTACGGCAAAAGTCAACCAAAACCGTGAGTAAATCTGATTGGAACTTTTCCCCTGAGACTCTGAAGCCAAATTCCTCATAACGTTTTTAAACTTTCTGTAAATGTACCCTAAAAGGAGAGAAAATGGGAGAGAAATGAAGAAATAGTTTAAAAAAGGGGGAAATAGGGAAAAGAAAGGGAAAGGCCCAAAGATAAATAAGTCAAGAAGACTAAACATTTCTAAGTCCCTGTCGAAAAAGGCAAATACATTTCTACGTCTATATGCGTTTGTTGTGGGCTGTACCTATGTCTTTGTTTTGTGTTTATATACATCGATCAACATCTTTGAACGATCAGCACATTGATAGTTGATAGGTAGTTGAAAATTCAATTTTTTGAAAAATATTTTTGATAGAAGTCCCTCCTTATATCATGCGTTTAAAAAAATGCTATAAAAACTGTACTACTAAATAAAAAATTCTTATTATGTACAAGCAAAAAACAGTGAAAAAATGAGGCACGAATTGTGTGTGTCACGGTGGTGAAAAAAAGCTGGGTCAACACTATTTTGCAGGGAAAGCAAGGCAAAGGAGTTCGAAAATTTTCAAGTAGAGTAAAAAATGTTGAGCTTTAATGAATATTAGTATAAGACTAAGAGAGGAGGGTGTTCACTTGTTCAGCTCATGAAGAAGTATTGGAATCCTAAACTGGGATCAGGCCGAAATAGCTGTATAACGGTTTGGGTCTTATTAGACCTCATCAGTAATAAATCAAACTCTTTATACTCATTAGAGCTCATAATTTTTGACTCTAATTTAAAATTTCTGAACTTTCTAGCCCAGTTTGCTCCTAAAATTAGTTTGAATCCAGCACTATCCTATCACCTTGTTAAAAAATGGTATATAAACTGATCTTTTAGATTGTAAAAACTTAAACCACCATCCAACTTTCACAACTTTGAATTGCATTTCTGTTCATAGCGATTTGAAGACGACTTCGTTGAAGTATTTGAGCAGCGAGCAGGCTCTGGCTGATTATGCGCATTTCATCGAGACAATGAACACTGAACACGGTTTCAAGAATCCAAAATGGATCGTTTTTGGAGTGTCTTACGGGGGATCGCTGGCCGCGTGGCTCAGATACAAATATCCCCACTTGGTTTATTCTGCCGTATCCGCGAATGCTCCGCTACTTGCAAAGGTCGACTTTCACGGTATGAGTCTTCTTATTCATGCAGAAAGTAGGTAGCGCTAACACAAAACTCGATCCTGAAGACGAATCAGACGAAAAATGAGGAGAGACGCATTCCTCATCGAAACAAAAGAAGTACATCTCTTCCTTTTCAAGGAAAAAAGAAGAATTTGGCAACAGGGTTACAGGGGGGATGAGAAATATGAAATATTAGAAATTTTAGTGGAATATTTCATGAAATTTCACAAATTTGTGAAAAATATGAAGCATATTCTCAGGGGCTGGGTGTGCAACACGCACTAAAAAACACCAAAAGGCAAAAATCTGTCTCCTTCCATTTAATTTTGCGTTTAATTTTGAAAAATATTTTTCTGTATTTTGCACATTTCTCTGAAATTTCATGAAAGATTTCACATGAAATTTTAAGATTTTATTTTTCATGAAAAATTGCAACCCTGTTTGGCGATGACGATGATATACTGAGAAAAAAAGTTCGGTTATACATATGAACCGAATGTCCGGTTTTCCAATATCGGCCGTGTTGTTCGGTGCATGCGACCGCTCTCTCGGTTCTGGGAGCCGTATCATCGATTCATGCAACCGAGCTTTTCCGTTAGTTATGTTCAGTTTGAATGTTCGGTTGCATGAACCGAGAGAGCAGTTACTTGAACCGAACGAATAGGCCGATATTGAGCACCGTACATTCAGTTCATATGACCGAAGTTTTTTTCTCAGTAGTTCTTTATATTTCTTAGTAGTATCGGGAGGAGAGGATCAAGAGCTCTATTTATTTTGATCCCAAAATAGGAAAGAACTGATTCTCAACGGAGGAAAAACAGAAAAGAATATTATGAGCCAAGGATATGACTACTAAAATTATTCCATTTAATTTTGAACTACACTCTCTCTATTTTTGAATCATCAAACTGAACCGGCGATCTGAACTTGAATTTTTTCCTTTTTAATTGGACCAGTTACTCAGTATCACAAACATGTTAACAGGGACTTTAAAACCTTTTGTTTGAATCGTGTGTGCTCATGTAGTTTTTTCAATGCGCTAATGAAAATAATGCATTGTGGTGTAAAGTTTTACATTCTCACTTTTTCAGAATACTTCGAAAGCGTTTCGAAAACGTTGTCTTCAATTGGTGGCCCAGAGTGTGCGGAAACAATCACAACTGCGAACAAAATCATGAGCGAGAAGATCGTGAATAATGCAAGTCAATATGATGAGCTTTTCGAGTAAGTCCTTCAATTTTATAAAAAAAACGCTGCAAACAACTTGATGAGATAAAATATATCGATGTACTATGAAGCTTTAGCATAGACACAATATAGGAGCATCATACACGAGCAGAATCGTTTATTGGGCCTGTTGAAAACTTTTGCTACGGCAAGAATAAGAGTTGTTTCCTATAGAAACGAGTCAAAAGTCACAATGAACGCACCGACCAAGTCTGGAATGCACTCCTAACTTCAAAATTTGCGTAAGAAATTTGCGTTTTGTTGAGCTTCCCGCCTTAAAAACGATACCACGGAACAGGTGAAGATTTCGTTAGTGGAGTTGTTCCGTTCAACCCTTGCGTACTAAAATGTTTTGCAATCCCCAACATAACCGACGCTATCAAGACGGATCTGTATTAACGCGAGGAAAGCGTGAATGTAATCAGCAGGCCGATTATTGAAACTGATAGACAAAGCTATAGACGAAGACGACAAAAGGGATTTGGAGGGATCGTATTGGTGGAAGCTAGTGGTGGCGATGGACATAGGAGGTAGGTAATGGACTAACTAACGGCAACCCACCAAAGACCCGACAGTTAGTCCATCATTTTCTTCCTTAGTCTATAAGAACCAACCATGTCAACCAATAGGATCGCTCTATACTCCCTATGTCTTCTTTGTCTATCAGTTTCAATAATCGGCCCGCAGCAGCCCGATTATTGAAATGTTTTGTTTGTCGGATCGACATAGATGACATAGGTTAAAAGGCGGAGCGTGATTGGTCGGCTATGTCTTAACGCTGCTTTATCGTGCCTTTGTCAGGTGGAATGATCGACATACTGTCGGAAACTCAAGAGGTGCCGTCAGCTTGTCGATCATTCCACCTGACAAAGGCACGACAAAGCAGCGATAAGACATGGCCGACCAATCACGCTCCGCCTTTTAACCTATGTCATCTTTGTCGATCCGACAAACAAGAAATTTCAATAATCGCCCCGCAGGCCAGGTTGTTAACAAAAGGTTAAAATCTCAACCGGCATACAAGTTTTGGCGGATTGGCGTCGGCCATGTTGAATACTGTGCAGTATATCGGACCCTCCTCCTTTTATCTCTGTGCGTGCGAACGAAGAAAATACATTCTTTATAATTTCGATCACTTTATTTTCCAGGCTTTGTGACCCACTGAGCGGTAGCGAAAATGACATTAGCAGTTTCTTCTGGAATCTTGCGCATCGTCTTGTTACGGACGTTGAGTTTATGGAGGAGGACGAAATTAAATATGCCTGCGAAATCTTAACGGACAAGAATATTGCCGATCCCGTAAGTAGTAAGCTAGGATGTACGTATCTGGGTGTCTAACCCCTGGCCGCTACTTGGTCCGTCCGAGGAGGGAGCTTCGCGCCTTCCTGCGATAATCAGTTGAATGTATATATATATATGAGTCGCTTTTATAGCGCTCTTTGGCGCTGTGCGACGCCTAATCGCCACAAAGCTCGGTCTTCCCACAGGTCATCAGGGAGTTGACAATCTCTTATCTCATTTAACACCCCCTGTCGCCAACCTCTCGCTGGGCGTCCCCTACGTCTCCTCCCAGGAGGAACCCAATCAAGCATCTTTTTTGGCAGCCTCTCTTCCGTCATCCTATTGACATGACCATACCAAACAAGTTGTTTGGTCATGACGTCGAACACGATGTCATTTTCGACTTCCATTATCTGACGCACTCTATCATTACGGACCCGATCTCTCCTAGAAATTCCTGCTGACCTTCTCCAGAAATCCATCTCCGTTGCTCTTAGCATATCCTGTGTCCGTTTCTTCAGCTGCCAAACTTCACATCCGTATGTTAATATACTTTTGACTACAGCGTTGTATATCCTCCTCTTGTTATCTTTGGAAATCCGCTGATCCCAGAGGATTCCATTTAACATCGCTATAGCCTTCCTTGCTAAGGTGTTCCTTTCCCTGATAGCTTGATCCGTCCTTCCATCCTGGGTCAACCGCACTCCCAAGTACTTAAAGTGCTCGCAGCCTTTGATCTGCTGCCCATCCTCCAACTCAATGCTTTGCTGATCACCGCCAAAAGTCATCTTCTCAGATTTGGATATGCTGACTTCCAGACCCCACTTCCGATACTCTTCTACTAGCTTGCGCATCATGTATTCCGCGTCATCTTGATCTTGAGCAACCACCACCTGGTCATCAGCAAAGCACAGAGTAAACAGAGTTTCGAGATCACCCAAGGGGACACCCATACCGGAGCATTTCTTTTTCCATTCTTTTAGCACGCACTCGAGATAAATTTTAAATAATGTTGGCGACAAACAACATCCCTGTTTTAAACCCTTAGTCACATAAAATCCCGCTGACAACCCCCCATGGCACTTAACTTTGGTAAAGTATTATTAAAAGTAAAGTATGTAAAGTAAAGTATGTTAGTAAAGTACATAAAGTAAAGTATGTTAGTAAGTATGTAAAGTAAAGTATGTAAGTATGTTATGTAAAGTATTATTATTAGACAGTAAGTTGGAAATGGACGTATTTATGCTAAAAAAAACTATGCTGCCGTGTTAGGAAGAACACCGTATGAACATTTGAGAGTTGCCAAGTTTCCTTTGATAACGTGTTCATTTTCGAGGAAAGTTGTGATTATTTTCTCTTGAAATTTTCAGAACTTTTGGGCGAAATTGCGAACAGAATTATCTGAAAAATTGGAGGGAAAATATTCAAAATTTTACTGGGAAATTTGTATTCTATCAAAGGAAACTTGGCAACTCGTGAATGTTCATACGGTGTTTCTCCTTAGCACGGCAGTATGTTACACGCAATCCCTACGCACATAGTTTCTTTTAGCATAAATACGCCCAAATGCAGCCAACGTGCGTTAAAATTCCAGAAAACTGGAAATCTCAATACAGAGGGAAAAAGCTCATCCGAGCTCTGTTTACCCTCAAAGAGGTACGCTATTTGGTGCAACACTACTTACTACCAATTGTAATATTATTACTTCAATATCAGTAGTGTTTAAGTATAGTGAGTTTCAAAACGCCAAGCTTTTCTGGAGATTATTAAATCGTATCTGAAACACTATGAGAAGTTTTCTCCTATATTTCTAGATATAATGGTCCACTGAACTCGGTGAGAATTGAAGCACTTTCCTACATGTTTCGTTGCATCATCCTTCAATTTCCGTGAAAATTGTGTTTGATGTGTTGAAAATAATCCAAATTAGAAGTTAGAAATCAACTTACATGGTTCACATAAGAGTCAGTAAATTTCGGGGGGAAGGGAAGAAAGGAAGAAACAAAAATCACCGCAAGTAACCCCGGTAAAAATTGGCAGTAGGATCCGTGTTTCAAAAAACTACAGACCTTCAGCCGGCTGTAAGATTTCCTGTAGCCTCTATTGCCGGCTATATAGTTTCATACAGCCGATGGCTATAAAGCACAGCCAGGCGATAAACTATGTAACAGGTGATAGGAACTATAGCCCCGCTGTATAATTGTGTATCGCTTCGTATAGCCCGGCTGAATAATTTTCTTCGCTTTCTACAGCCAGCTATATGATATATACCCAGCCAGCTATATATGATTTTCTATCGCCTTCTATAGCCGGCTTTAAGAATTCCTATGGTATTTTGAAACGCAGCCCCTGCTGCCAAATCTTAACAGAGAAACTCAACGTTTGAATAAATTCTTCCATGTTTGTTAGGAAACAGCTCTAATATATTACAATTCACCGTACAGAGAAATGAACGGCCAGATAGGTCGGTCGAAAAATTCATTTTAATTGACACGGTCAAAATGTTTCCCAGGTTCATCGATATGCCGAATTCAGTAGACAGACTAATTATGATTTCTGCGTTTATGCGAAATATTCCGACATAATCAACCGATGGAGACTGAACAAGATCTCATATACGGAAGGTTGGGGAGGTGAGTTTTCCATGCGTATTTACCCGTAAATCTTCCAGCAGGTTTTTTTATTTTACTGATGTCCCACTACAAAAATTCTCTTCTAAATAGGAGCATACTGCATATCAATAGCGAAAGTGCCAAACAACGTATCTCTGGTTGCAACGTTGCAAATCATACATCATTGTTTACGGGAAAACTAGTCGAAGAAATTTCTTGAAAATATCTTTGATTTTGGCGCGTATACGTAGTATACCGCCTTTGCGATCGTTTCGAACCCTGCTCGATACAATAACCGAGTCCCTTAGTTCCTTACCGAAAAGTGACTACCGCGAACTTCTGAGATTTTCCAAAGCGTGTAAAAAGTTTATTTATCCATCAATAATTATGAATCAAAGTTGTTTCTCATTCTGGGGGTCTCTAGTTTATGTGCATAGTGAATACCAAGAGTCTACGTTACTTGGTTTTTTTAAAAAAAGCCTAAGAATGCGACGCGCTGATTTAAAATATGCATATATAAGCAGAATCAAGCGAACTGATTCGAGGATGGCTGAGCAGGTCGGCACCCTCGGAATGAGAATTTAACTCCTCCGTTTTGTTCAAAACGTTGCTTTGACAGATCTGTAACCTCGGTTATACTTTTCAAAAGTTGGTACCCGTGCTCTGATAGTGCAATCTGTGTAAGTGCAACCTGTGATGAGCCTTGAGACTCATTAGACCATTAGCTAAACGTGGCTCATACAGGAATCCACTTACCCCTCTCTTCCCCACGCTCCTGATCACTGCGTCGGCGTCTCGACGAACAATAGCTAATGACGGTCGCCAAGCGAGGCCGGGATCCTCAGCCCCTCGCCCAATTACTTACGCTTCATTAACCATTTCACCGTCACGCTAGGATTCGTCCAATTTTCAAAAAAAATTGTTTCGTGAGTTTTTAGCAATTTTTCCCTTACTCTCCGTTAAAACACGAATTAAAAGAGGTCTCATTCATAAAAATTGGCCAAATAGAAGAGAAGTTACAGTATTCGAAATCCGAAGAAATCAACAAAACTTCTCCAAACAAAAAATAAAATGAAGCGAGAAAAAAAGAAATGTATAAATTACAATTTAATATGATTGACCTCAGAATGTGACAAGCAATTCAATTATAAAAAGGAGAAAAACTTGAGTGAAATTACAAAAAATTAGCCTCTTGCAAGGGGCTTCCTTGTATGAGTTTTGACCTGAAGACAAGTAAATCCCGTTATATTATTAAAACGAAATTGACTCCATAGTTTAATGCCTTAGTTTCTTGAATACGATTATTTTAAGCACTCGAAAATTTATACCAGCAATTTTACCCATGGGGTGATTTCCTGAGAGCTGATAATATCACGAATTTCTCATAGAGCCCTTCAAAAATGGTTTGCTTTTTGGGCAGCCGATTAGGCCATCAAACCGGGGTTTAAACGGAAGCTGATAATAACACAAAGCTCTGAGAAATATTTTGAGATGAGTATAGGAACGGTTTGTAAATTACGAGGAGAGATGGGCATTCTGTTCAGCATATAAGTATTTTCACACGTAGATTTTAATTTTCACGTCAGAGAGTCGACATATTTTGATTTTTTCGATTTTATACGGAAAATTTATGGTTTTTCGGGATTGAAATTACTTACAATTGTTTCATGAAAAGTGAATGCACCCAAAATGACTATAGCATTTTGACTTTCACATACGTGCAGTCACTAAATTGATTGGTAAATTCAAACAGTGGGTACATGGACCTGGTATATCAAGTTTCTGCGATTTTTTACGGCAAATCGGTAGATTTTCGGGATGTGGATTGCTTACTTTCAATTCATGAATGAATAAAGCATGGACATGGTTGAGCTTCTTTGCATGAAAAGACGTTTAAAATAACAAAATCAAGACATATTTAATACAATTGCATTTATATCGAGTCAATTTCTTTTCAATAATATAACGGGATTTATAATACCGGTGATTTGGGTATTTTAGCCCCAAAATACCTTTAAATCGACTTTATCTTCTAGGAGTTCGACAGAATTTTTCCTTTCTTCGCTTAATAGCTTTCTAGATTCACAATACACGGTCTCGTCAAGGTGCGTCGTTGACCTTGCAGTGTTGGATCGTGAATTCTCTTGTTGTGCTGCTTGCCTTTTTTGAAATCTCTGTAAATGAAAACTAAAGGGGTTGATATGTGCGAGTTAATGACGCGCCTTATCAACACATTGTGTTGGAGTTCACTGCTTGTTTTCTTCTCCGTTAGGAGAGCATTCTGTAAAAGACCGAAGCTATGAAGTTAGCTTGTACCTCCTAGAAAAAATAAATTAAAAGTGGGAATTTTGAAAACCCCCGATTGAGATAAGTGGTTTTGCTCTTCAGCCATTGATATACATGGGGACTCGCATTACAGACTGCACCGGGGAGGCCAAATCCCAAACTCGGCTTCAAAGTTGCATATATGGACTGCATTTTGCAATTCAGAACTATGAATTCTAGCTCTTTTGGAAAAACAGTTATGTACATATGGAAACTAATGACACAAACGTTGTTTTTAAACTGGGCTAGAATTTATAGTTCCAAATTGCAAAATGTAGCCCATATTTCTGATAGAAATTCATGATTTTACTTCTCCGTTTGAAGAAACCACGATATGTCTTTACATGCGAGACCAATGGTTCCCTTATGAGGATGTCCCGCAGTTTCCAGTAATTAAGATATCTCCATTGGGAAGAAATTAAGTTAAAAATTGAATTCGGGGGACAAAATGAGCGGGAGGATAATCGAGTTCAGCATCATTAAATGCAAATACGATGGTAATATATATTTTATTCCTTGATAAATATGAATAACAGAGAGAAGCCAGGTCAATTTTCGAGGGAAAAAAAGAAGTTACAAATAGATTTCAGCTTCAGTAGCTGCACAATTTCTCAAGTCAAAATCTATATTAAATAATTTGCGTCTGAAAAAATACCTTATTATCTCAAATTTAGTTTTGGGGAGGATAAGACTTCACTTTTTTCACACTTCAGTTTTGATTTGACTTGGATCTTGCCTGTTAAACTCGATCTCTATGATAACTTTCTTCTTATATGTTTAGCTCGTCAATGGTTTTACCAAACTTGCACGGAATTCGGTTGGTTCGCGACGTCTAGCCGAAAGAACAATTTGTTTGGGGACAAGATGACCGTAGACTTTTATGACAGCATTTGCAAGGACGTGTTTGACGTTAAGTAAGTCAAACTTAATTACCTATTTGAGAAAAATTACCACACCATTTGAAAAAGCATCTAAAAAATTTAAATTTTCGGAATATGAGGACTAAACCAGGATAAATTAAACTCAGAAGTTACAACTAAAGAAAATTAATACTTTTTAATCGCACGACTTTACTTTTTGTTTAATCAATTTGAATTACAGTAATTATATTATTAATTTTACTGCCTGCACTCGTAAATGCAGTTACTTCACTATCATGAATCCTCACTGCAATAAATAATACAATTTCCTGAACATTTTTCATGAAACACTTTGCTCACTTTAAGAACACGATGTATTACACAAGGTAAAATTTTAGTCATAACATTGACATCCACAAAGTTTTCGAAACCAAACAAATTATAATGCAACAAGAGAACTTATTCTCACAGGCGAAATTTTGGAGTGGTAAGTTTTTACCTGGATGCAGCAAATTTTTCATAGTTCATACTGAGATTAAGATACTCAAATGATTAGTGATGCTCGAGAACTAATAATCTGATCCAAGACGGTCAATTTTAATTTGGATCCTCAGACTCGCAGTATCCTGTTTTATTTGCCTCTAAGAAATATTTACGTGTACTTAGATTTTTTGATCAATAAAGTTGCAAAAAATTAATTTTGTTTGATATTACGTTTGAAAATAATTTCTAGGTTTGACACCAAATTTGTTGAGAACGCTGTCAACAAGACTAATGAGAAATACAGGGGATTAGACCTGCCTGTGACTGGAGTAATATTCGTTCATGGCACGAATGACCCTTGGTCTAAAGTTGGCATCACGAAGTTCCCTAAGAAAGGAAGCATCGCCATTCGAATTAAAGGTTTGAGACACAATTATTTATTTCTCTTATCTTTGTAATCTAAGAAATAATTCATATTCATAAAGATTAATCACGTCACAGGTGACTCAAAGACATAGGAATGACATTTGGACTTCATTCTACAACCAGGAACTACAATTTCTGGCTCAGTTTTGAAACAACGTATGCACCATTAATTCCCCTATGCGAATTAGTGGTTTTATGGATAGGTCGAAAATTGTAGTTCCTCATCGAAACATGTAGTCCAGTTGGCTTGCAGTTTGCCTGAGCAGCAGCAGATGCGTACATATTTTCATATTTATATTTATTAATTTTTATAGAAGTGTCGCACGCGGCGGAATGAACAAAATAAAAGAATCCAAGAAATAAATAAAACTACTCAGAAAAAAACATTTGGAATAGATTTTGAAGGAGATTAGTGAAATTAATTTGGGGATGATACATTTCCTATGCTGTTTGGCCAGTCTGTCATGAAACAAACGGGTACTGACTAGATTCTAGGTAGAGCCAATTTGGCTCTTATGACGCAATTCATGAAAATGGGTCAAAAAAATAGAAAGTACACGTACAATAGTCGAAAGTATACTTTTTTGAGGGGAACCTATGAAATGCGCCTATTTCGTCTATATATTGTTAAGTCAGGTATGAATTTCATCTTTTAGCAATCTTTTACCGGAAACAACTCTTCTTTTAGCTCCATCAAAAGTTTGCAACACTCCCATTATTTATAACAGCCTTGGAGTGCATTGCGATGTGTGCTACTTGGTACCTAAAATCGCAAAATTACATCTTAAAACCAAAAATTGTTGGGAAATGTAGCCATTTTTCTATTTCAGGAGGCGGTCATTACGGAGTCTTGCTGCCAGAATCACCAAACGACTCAGAGCAACTGAAGAACGCACGTACAAGGATTTCGAAAATCCTCGAGCGATGGACGAAGACAAAGTCATTCGAACAAGAGAAATCAGCTATCATCGATGTCTGAAAACTGCATGCAAAAACTAAAAACCGAGTGAAATAAATGAATGTACGAACATATATCTACATTTCTGGCAGATAAATCAGTCACCCAGAGTCTTAGAGACACGAGTGTAACCGCTATTAAACTATAGAGAAGAACTAGTTTAGTTATGGTCACCAAACTCTATTATTTAACAGCGACGAGGCGTGAATGATCGATTAATTGATATTTACCCATTTGAAGCTATACGGTAAAGAATCGATTATTATAGTGTGTTAATCACACCCTGTTTATTGGTCCTTTTCCATAGATTTAAATGACATATCAATCGATAAATCGCAAAGCACGCCACGCAGGTAAAGAATCAGTATTATTCAAGAATTGGGCATATTTTTAATTGAAGGAACTACGTGCTAAAAATTAAATAAGAAGGCTCTATGAAGCGCGCAAATTCTATGTACGTAGTTCCTCTTGATTTATATTTAGTTCAATTGTTTATTCTTTTCAGTGTAAAGATAAGTCAATTTTCAATATTCACCGAGAAAATTTTAGTCGATCAAACAAAACAACATTGAACAAGATGTCCTAAATATACACCTAAAAACAGGTTTGTGACTTAACTTGATTGGGACCTCCCTTCGCGATGGTTCCGACTCATCACTATTCTAATGAAAAATCTCGGTAAAAAATACTCAAAGTTAAAGGTGAGATTCGATTATCAGCTCAGTTGAACAGAAGATCTAGTTCGTTAAGCTGGAACAATCAAATTCTTTTTCATTTTGATTGAATTGTTGGTTCATTTATTAGAAGCTTGGTCGCTTATTTTTTTCAATAATTTGAATTCACCACCTTCAAAGTATCACAAGCGCCATGCGACGTTTACAAGTTTTCGCCGCCATCATTTAACGGAGAAATTTTTCTACGAAGCTGTCCAAAATTTTCACTGAATTTTTTTTGTGCTACCGATAAAATTCAGTAAAATTTTCGAACAAAATCAACCAACAATTTCTCTGTAAAATAATAAAATGACACGGGAAATTGTTATATGTCGCATGGTGCTTGTGATACTTTTGCCGGAAGGTGACGAAATAAGAAACAGTGATAAGAAGATAAAAGGAAATAGTTTTACCTTACAAAGGTTCACAGTAAAGATAAAAGGAATGAGTCTCACCGTTCGTAGGATCATAATAAAGGTTCTTCGTGCTTTACTTGAAACAAATTCAGAAATGGAAATTAAAATAAATCACATCACGAGGATTGGCCATTAGGGAAGGGGAGGGGGTTGAATTATATGGGTGCCAATTAAAATTATGATCAAGATCTGAAAGGAGTTGTACCGATAAGGGAAGTTTTTGGGCAGCTCCTGGGTGAATTTTCTCAGCTCTACGATTTTTTGTTTGTTTAAGGTCTATTTTGAGGGATGCATCATGATTTGGTCATTTTTGGTCTCTTTTTGGGTCCATTACTGGCCTTGATATGGGTTTGAAAGGTAACTTTCGGCAAAAAATGCGTGTTTACGATCAAATGCCGAGAACTCCATACTTTCCCCCAACAATGCCCCTCGGACCCATGTTTAGGCCAATATTCGGCCTAAAAAGAGACCGAAATGATTAAATGCATGCACTCCGTAAAATATGGACAAAGATTAAAATATGAGCAAAAATTGTAGATTTGCGGACATTCTGCTGAGGTGGGTCCAAAAACGGCCACCGCCAATACCCCTGCTTTTGCCCCCTCTGAAAGTTTGGCCAATTATGTTCCTAAAAATTAAAAAGCCACCCTGAAAGAAGGGCAAAGCTCCTCTATTTTACTGTCTTGTTACAAACAGTCTCACGCCGCATTATTAGTGTTTTTCTTGTCTTAATTATGAGCAGGTTCTGAAACTTTGTCCCCTCTGAAACTTTGGCCGATGCGATGCCCCTAAAAATCAAAAAGCCACCCTCAAATAACGGCAACACCCTCTCCGCTAGCCAGTAATACATCTCGCGGGCTGGAATATGGTCACATCCCATGTGCGTTTGATTTATTTCGATTACCGCAAGGTATTCCTCTTATTTTCCACGTGCACCACGCTCCCAGCTTCCCTTCCAACGTCCCCTCCCCTCCCCTAAAGACGGATATAATCTCTTATTCATGACGCAACGTGTCCTCCAGGATTTATTCGGAATGTAATTCGTTCGGTGCAGCGGTTTTGAAAGGAGTTTCCGATTTCTGATGTGTATTTAAGAGCCAGGAGGGAACGAGCGCCAGGCTAATGAAAAACACCGTATGAGCCTTCGGGCGTCGCCAAATTTATTTTGATAAAGTACACATTTATCAGGAAAGTTGTAAAAATTTAGCCTTCAATTTTTCAGACAAGTTTTTGCGCAATTTAATCTAAAATATCAGAAAATTTGAAGGGAAATTGTGCACAGCTTTCTTCAAAAATACACATTTTATCCGGGTAAATTTGGCAACTCCCGAAAGTTTATACGGCGTTTTTGCTTAGCGTGGCATTTCAGTTTTCGATTCCGCTCTGGGAAACTGCGCTTCGCCGCGTAATCTCATGCTCAAAGCGAATCGCGTTGTGATGTTGCAGGACACTTCGAGGTGCAGGACTCCGAAGGGTTCCCCACACGCGAAGAAATTATGTAACGTTATCACGAACAAATATATTCCGTTGGCAGCTCTTGGTTGCTCAAAAAAAATTAGTTTCCGTCAAGAGCGAAATGAAGGAACTGTAAGTTCGGCGATCTGCAACCTAGCGCCTTCACCGATAGTACGCTGTCACTGTGGGCAACTATTCTAACTCCTGGGAGATCAAATTGCATATCCAAAATTTGAAGGAGTTTTAAGACCAGGCATTCTCGAGTGTTCTTGATGCTTATATTATCTGACCAATGAAAGTTTCGCTATTGTTATGACGATTTAAAGATTCAAATATGTCATTTAAGAGGTATATGATGGCGGCTTGGCGGTTTGGTAATAAAACCATAATAACGGTCGGTACTTAAAGTTTTCCCAAACTTTGAAAACGAAATGGTCTTCAAGCGGTAGAGGAGGAGATTCCCTGATTTTTCCGTAAATGTTTGATTCGCTCATGAATCCCGGTCTTAGACACCATGTCGTTAAATCCGCACAATTTTAATCAAGTCACTTTGTTTTTTTTTTTTTTAAATTTATGTTTAGATTTTATGAGGCGATATCATCACGCCACTTTTTACTAGTATTGAGATGACGAACCCCACTGAAAAAAGTGGCCGAAGGCCTGAAATGTGCCGAAGTTTGGTATTCCATATGATTCCAACTAATTCAGTTCGTCACTCTTAATTTCCGGTTTGTTAAACCGAATTTCCGGTATGTTAACCCGAATTTCCGGTATGTTAACCCGAACTTTCGGTTCGTGTAACCGAACCTGTGCTGTAAATTGAACTGACTAACAAAGGTTGGTCATATATGCCGACGCTCGGTTTGACGAACCGAAAATTCAGTTTGACAAATTGAATATTTGGGATGGCATGGAACACCGGACGTTCGGTTCACATGACCGATTTTTTTTTTGCGCTGATTCCGCTAGGTGTGGCAGCGATGCACGCGTCAACTGAGGGTGGGTGCGCTTGGGATAAACGCAAGAATGTTACGGTGTCATAAAAAATGAAGATGCCTACGCAATACAAAATACGAACGATAAATGGACCCGAAACAGATCTGCCAGGCCTCCTTGGCACACGGTCGGTGTTCCAACCCCTCGACCTACCCCCACCGGTGTTAGCGCGATAAAATAATGTGAAAATAAACCCTTCATGGTTTCCTTCCCGCCCCCGTTTCCGGAGCAACACGTTGCGGTATAACACTCGATTATCGAATTACCTCGATCGGTAAAGCCCTATTTTGGCAATGCTATTTATCGAATCGAACAAGCATTTCGATATCAATTCGATTATCGGATCGCGGGTTTTCATTTTTACCATAAGAGGAGACTCGGATGTCTTGACGCTGTTGGGTGTCGCGTTAAAATGAAATCCCGAGTTGGGATTTCGTCTGAAGTGAGAGGGGTTTCTCGGCTATTTCGGGGGTGCCTCCATTTAAAATTTATGGACACTCGAGTCTGTGACCCGGAGTAAAATTATGCCTTACACGTTTTTTTTTTGGAAAAAGAAGTTAGCTGTGTTTTAGGGTTCTCAGAAAACAGTTTCGTACGTCTGAAAAATTTAGCGACGGTTCTGAGTAGTGCGTAGACTTCGACCCAAAATCAAGGCTACTTTTCCTGAACTTCGCGACGGCGTGCCGCAACGCTGTGAGCTATTATTTCGCCACGGAGGTGTTACAAAGTATCAAACGAGATTGAAGGCACCCCAAGGTATCATGACTGATAGCATATTTCAGAAGAAAGAAATCCCCTCGCAAATAAAATTGAGTGACGACGACAAATGAGAGCGGTAGTCTAAAAACTTACTAAGTCCTAGTATCTGTATTCAATAACGTATAATATGATTTATGAACTTCACTAGAGGAAAAAGTGACTTGATTCAAGCAGAAATATGGTCAAATTTACCGCCCAGAAAATTTCCTTATAAATCTATAAAGAAAATGATGTTTGTTTAAAGAAGAGAAGGTGCTCTTGTAAAAAGAACAGTCACATCAAGTAGAAACCCGCTTTCATTTTATTCTTACTTGAAAATAATATCTTCTTGACGGCATACTCAAGAATGTCTCTACCAATATCGAGTCACTTTTTTCTCGAATAAAATTCAAAAATCATGTTGAACGTAATGAAACACCAATGCTAGGACTTAATGAGTTTTTGGACTGCCGCTCTCTTTTTGTGTCGTAGTATCTTGATTTATTATGCAAGGGAAGCTCCGTACTCTTAGAGGATGATTGTCATTCTTAATATGTTGGAGCGCCTTCAATTTCGTATGATACTGTGCAACACCTCTGTTGTGAAATAGTTGCTTGCGGCGCCGTGATCGTGGCACGTTGCGGACAGCCGGCCAGCGCCTACAAACCTAAGGGGATACTTCAATCATTGCGCAATGCCTGAAGTATCCCCTTAGGTTTGTAGGCGCCAGTGCGAGTTTTGCGCTGGAAGCACGCGTCACTCCGCTGTGTTTAGCCTCTAATATTTAAACTCGAGGAGTCAGCGTTTTTCAACTCATGATTTTGAAAAGTTTGCACACTCTGCATGGATCACTTTTATTTAAATTGATGAAAACAAAATATGTATCAAAGGAAGATATAATGTGTGTTTTGTAAATATTTAGATGGTTCCGTGTCCATTATAATTAACAAAGCAATTTATTTTGAATTAGCAGATGAATGTTTAGGAGGCTTGAGAGTTTATCAACAGCGTAAGCCCGCAATCACACATCTCGTGTTTGACGTGCGAAAATCTCCGCCTATGTGTTATTTCTTTAAAGGAGAACAAATTGACATCATTACTTGAAGTTTTTACAGACTTTTCTTCGCACTCAGAAGAAAAATCACGGCATTTTTAAAGATTTGCTGTTGAGTAGTTTTCCGTTTAAAAAATAAAGTATCACAGGAAGTCTACGACGTCGCAAACCGAGTTACAAGATTGCCGACTCACACCGTCGTTATAGTATAGATGCGGCACACCGTACCGTTG